TCTGTGCTTGTCTTACTCACTACAGCGTGTAGTTCCTTGTCTGGTTTATAATCGATGCTCAGTGCATGTCTATTGAGCTTGAAACTGCAGTCTAAAAATAGCATGAGGGACTGTTAGTGTCATCTCAGGTTAGCAGGTGATAGATACCCTGGACCAAAGTCACTGTGGTGGGAAGGATTTGAAAAATTTCTAGAAAGTGAGCACATGGAACTTGGCGACTGAGAACATGAGAAGATGCGGGAAGTTTAGCGGAATAAGCGGTGAGCTTCCTGGTTTGGGGCTGGGGCTGGGTAGACCGTTACCCAGCTGGTAACGGTCAGTGGAGCCATCAGTGGAGTGAGGAGCATTGAGAGAACTTGAAGGTGAGCTAGTAGAATGAGAGGGGCCCGCAGGGCAGCCAGAAGGTAGCTGAGGGTCATGGGAGCCTTGGCTGCCAAAGTGGGGGCCGCCTGTCCTGGTTTTTCCCATCAGTGTTGAACACGGTTACATCTGAGCTGCAAGGAAAAAGCTCTTGGAAATTCAGAGGGGTTCTGCTGTGGTCCCAAGGTGGGAGGATCACCTTTGGGGACAGCCTCTTCTCTGGGGGAGGGAGAGTGGGAAGACTGTGTGTAGATGCAGATGCAGCTGGGGCTTTGGGACAAGGGCTTCGAGGGTTCCTATTGGAACCGTCAGGTGTGGTGAGGAAGAGGCAGCATTTGAGGAAGCCAGGTTGAACTGAGTGTTGGGCAACTGGCAGGCGTCCGAAAGTCAGCACTGAAAAGTCCAGCTGACACTGAGGCCAAGGATTTTCCAGGGTTCGAGCCAGCAGGATTGTGTGTTCTAGTGCATTCGCAGGCTATACTCCGTGCCCGATTTTTCCCTGCCCCCGTCTCTTCATGGCTTGGCAGAGTTGAGTGAGCATTCTTCTTCTTCTTTTTTTTTTAAAGATTTTATTTTATTTTATTCATTTGAGAGAGAGAGAGAAAGCACAAGCAGAGGGAGGAGGGGCAGAGAGAGGGAGAGGAACAAGCACGCTCCCTACTGAGCAGGGAGCCCGACGTGGGATCATGACCTGAGCCGAAGGCAGACGCTTTACCGACTGAGCCACCCAGGCGCCCCGTTGAGTGAGGTTCTGATGTGGCTCTCTGCTTCTGTCTAGGTGAGGGGCCAGATGTCCTGGTGTACAGCCTCGATTTTGGTGGCCATCTGCGGATGATGAAGCGCGTGCAGAACCTGCTTGGCCACTATCTTATCCACGGATTCCGGGTGCGACCAGAACCAAATGGAGACCTTGACTCGGAGGCTATGGTGGCTGTGTTTGGGAGCAAGGGACTCCGAATTGTGAAAGTTAGCTGGGGGCAGGGCCGCTTCCGGGAGCTCTGGCGCTCTGGCCTGTGGAACATGACTGACTGGATCTGGGATGCACGTTGGCTTGAGGGCAACGTGGCCTTGGCCCTGGGCCATAACTCGGTAGTGCTGTACGACCCTGTGGTAGGGTGCATGCTGCAGGAGGTGCCCTGCACAGACAGGTGCACCCTCTCCTCAGCCTGTCTGATCGGAGATACCTGGAAGGAGCTGACCATAGTGGCAGGTGCAGTTTCCAATCAGCTCCTTGTCTGGTACCCCGCAGCCGCTTTAATAGACAATAAGCCGGTGGCCCCTGACCGACGTGTCAATGGGCATGTGGGAGTCATCTTCAGCATGTCGTACCTGGAAAGCAAGGGCTTGTTGGCCACAGCTTCAGAAGACCGAAGTGTCCGCATCTGGAAGGTGGGTGACCTGCGGGTGCCTGGGGGTCGGGTGCAGAATATTGGGCACTGCTTTGGGCACAGCGCCCGTGTGTGGCAGGTCAAGCTCCTGGAGAATTACCTTATCAGTGCAGGAGAGGACTGTGTCTGCTTGGTATGGAGCCATGAAGGTGAGATCCTTCAGGCCTTTCGGGGCCACCAGGGCCGTGGGATCCGGGCTATAGCTGCCCATGAGAGGCAGGCCTGGGTGGTCACCGGGGGTGATGACTCGGGCATCCGGCTGTGGCACCTGGTAGGGCGTGGGTGCCCGGGTTCAGGGGTCTCAGCTCTCTGCTTCAAGTCCCGCAGCAGGCCAGGTACCCTCAAGGCTGTGACGCTGGCTGGCTCCTGGCGACTACTGGCAGTGACTGATACAGGGGCCCTGTATCTCTACGACCTTGAGGTCAAGTGCTGGGAGCAGCTGCTGGAGGACAAGCGCTTCCAGTCCTACTGCCTCCTGGAGGCAGCCCCTGGTCCTGAGGGTTTCGGACTTTGTGCCATGGCCAATGGGGAGGGTTGGGTCAAGGTTGTCCCCATCAACACTCCAACTGCAGCCGTGGACTTGACCCTGTTCCGTGGGAAAGTGCATAGCCTGAGCTGGGCCCTGCGTGGCTACGAGGAGCTCCTGTTGCTGGCATCGGGCCCTGGCGGTGTGGTGGCTTGCCTGGAAATCTCAGCTGCGCCCTCTGGTAAGGCCATCTTTGCAAAGGAACGTTGCCGCTACCTGCTGCCGCCCAGCAAGCAGAGATGGCACACGTGCAGTGCCTTCTTACCCCCTGGTGACTTCCTGGTGTGTGGGGACCGCCGGGGCTCTGTGTTGCTGTTTCCCTCCAGACCAGCTCTGCTCAAGGACCTTGGGGTTGGGGGCAAGGCCGGGGCTATCGCTGGAGCTCTTGGAGCAGGTAGTAGTAGTGAGGGGGCTGAGACTGCTTCTACCGAGTGGGGCCCTGTGTCCGCCCTCCCCTCTCTGCATGGGAAGCAGGGTGTGACGTCCGTCACCTGCCACGGTGGCTACGTGTATACCACGGGGCGCGATGGCGCCTACTATCAGCTCTTTGTGCGAGGCGGCCAACTGCAGCCGGTCCTCAGGCAGAAGTCCTGTCGAGGCATGAACTGGGTGGCTGGGCTCCGCATGGTGGCTGACGGGAGTATGGTCATCCTGGGTTTCCATGCCAACGAGTTTGTGGTGTGGAGTCCCCGGTCACATGAAAAGCTGCACATCGTCAACTGCGGTGGAGGGCACCGCTCCTGGGCCTTCTCCGATACCGAGGCGGCTATGGCCTTCGCCTACCTCAAGGACGGGGACGTCATGCTCTACCGGGCTCTGGGTGGCTGCACCCGGCCACATGTGATTCTCCGCGAGAGCCTGCATGGCCGTGAGATCACTTGTGTGAAGCGTGTGGGCACCATCACTCTGGGGCCTGAATTTGAGGTGCCCAGCTTCATGCAGCCCGACCACGTGGAGCCCGGCAGCGAGGGGCCGGGCCTGACCGACATCGTGATCACGTGCAGTGAGGACACTACCGTCTGTGTCCTGGCGCTCCCCACCGTCACCGGTTCGGCCCACGCACTTACAGCGGTGTGTAATCATATCTCCTCCGTGCGCGCCCTGGCCGTGTGGGGCATCGGTACCCCAGGTGGCCCTCAGGATCCTCGGCCAGGCCTGACCGCTCATGTGGTGTCTGCGGGGGGCCGGGCCGAGATGCACTGCTTCAGCATCATGGTCACCCCGGACCCCAGCACCCCAAGCCGCCTCGCTTGCCATGTCATGCACCTTTCGTCCCACCGGCTAGATGAGTACTGGGACCGGCAGCGCAATCGGCACCGGATGGTCAAGGTGGACCCAGAGACCAGGTGACGTGCGCACCGCGAGGCGGGAGCGTGGGCTGGCGTCCCGCAGGGCTGGCCCCTTGCCGCTGCTCCTAGGCTGCCCCTGACTGCTGGCCGGTGTCGTGTCTGCAGGTACATGTCCCTGGCTGTGTGTGAGCTCGACCGGCCTGGCCTCGGCCCCCTAGTGGCTGCAGCCTGCAGTGACGGAGCAGTGCGGTGAGAGCGGAGTGCCTTGGGCCCCAGCACCAGGGCTGGAAGTTTGTCCAGAATGGGTTCTGAGCTGGCCCCCCCCGCCCCCCCCAGGCTCTTCCTTTTGCAGGACTCGGGGCGGCGGCTGCAGCTCCTGGCTGAAACCTTCCACCACAAGCGGTGTGTCCTCAAGGTCCATTCCTTTACCCATGAGGCACCCAACCAGCGGCGGTGAGAGGGGCCGCCCGGGGGCCCCGCGTGGGCCGGGTGGGGGCTCCTGTTGCTTCCCATCTCCCTCACTGACCCAGCTGCCCTCTCCCGGCCCCCAGGAGGCTGTTCTTGTGCAGCGCGGCCACCGACGGCAGCTTGGCCTTCTGGGATCTCACTACTGTGCTGGACCACGGCTCCGCTGCCCTGGAGCCTCCAGCAGACGCTGGGCTTCCCTACCGTGAGTAGCTAGCAGACAGCCTGGGCCGTCCCTCCCCGCCTCGCACTTCGCCTTCACCCGGTGGCGGGCTGGGCCCTGACGACCATCTTCTCCCTCCAGGGCTGGGCGCCCCCTGCCTGACCCTCCAGGCTCACAGCTGTGGTGTCAACAGCCTGCATACCTTGCCCACACGTGAGGGCCATCTCGTGGCCAGTGGCAGTGAGGATGGCTCCCTCCATGTCTTTGTGCTGGCCGTGGAGGCACCGGAGCTGGAAGAGGCCATGGGGGGTGCTGAACTGGTGCCCCAGTTGCGTGTGCTAGAGGAGTACTCCGTCCCCTGTGCGCATGCTGCCCATGTGACAGGTCTCAAGATCCTAAGCCCAAGCCTCATGGTCTCAGCCTCCATCGACCAACGGCTGACCTTCTGGCGTCTGGGGCATGGGGAGCCCACCTTCATGAACAGTACCGTGTACCATGTCCCAGACGTGGCTGACATGGACTGCTGGCCTGTAAGCCCTGAGTTTGGCCACCGCTGTGCTCTTGGGGGCCAGGGGCTTGAGGTTTACAACTGGTATGATTAAGGTGTCCCGCGGTGGCCGGCGTGCTGGGCATGGGACCTGCTCGCAGACAGGGTGGAACAGAAGCGGCCGTCTGTGCCCATGCCCAGTGTGCCTTGAGGAGGCGGCGGCAGCCGCGGGCTCCTGACTTCGGAGCAGGAACAGAAGGTGAGGCGGGTGCTGTTTGGGCAGACCCAGCCTACGCCCCAGTACCCACCAACAGGACCCGGCTTTGTACGGAACAGAAGCAATTTATTTTGGCTCCAGGTCTCTAACAGCGTCTTTGTATCTTTTTTCCAGGTCATGACTTTGTAAACATTCCTAGCTGTCGGGGTCTCTGTGGCCTTAGATGTGGTTCAGTGGAGGAAGACCCAGCATGGCTAGGCCAGCGTGGAGCACTTCACGCACGGCCCGCAGAAGCTGGAGACGGGCAAACATTTGACCAAACAAGTGTGGTCGAGGCTCCTGGAGGAGAGAAGGGGCCTGCTGGTCTCTTCCTTTGCTTCCCTTGCACCCCTGCAAGCACCCTCCCCTTTGCTGTGTACTTACTCCTAGGATGTGTATGCGGTTATAGTATGAGCTGAAATCCATGCTGAGCTGAACCAGGAACTTGCACATCTAGAGACAGAGACTGAGTCACTGGCTGGTCTCCTTGATCTCGTGCCCAGCCCAGAATAAATCATCAAGTGCGCAGTGTCTGTCCGGCCCTCTCTGCCTCACCGTCTCGGTGCGCGCCGTCGTGTGGAGCCCCGGGGCCGCGCACGCCAAGGCTGCGGTCTGGCTCAGCACGTCTGGGAAGGGGAGCACGCCGTTGAAGAGCAGCAGCCACTCACCCTGCGGGGGCGGGGGGAGGTGAAGGGCGCTGGGAGGGGCGGTCCCAACCTCCTGCAGGTGCCCAGCTCCCCAGGACACTCACCTCATCCTGTAGCAGTGAAAAATTGAGACTGCTCACAGGTGGAAAAGTGGGGTACCGACCTTGTTCCGTGCTGTGCTTGTACCCCTCAAATAGTGTGGCAAGACGGGCACAGTTGTACATGACGAAGGTGCCACTCTTGGTGCCCTTTGTGGAAATGCTGCCGCCGGCCAGGGCCAGGAGGAGCTGGGGGGTCGGGGGGGGGCACAGTTGCAGCCACGACCCAGCCTGTTCCCCAAGCCCTGAACCTGTCGGGCTCCTGGGCTCACCTGACTCTGTGGGGCTGTGCTGAGCATCTCGAACTTTATGGTCGCCACAGAGAGAACGCGGACGACCTCCATCCAGGCCGGGTCTGCAGGGGTTGAGCGGGTCAGTGCGGGCGTGCAGGGAAGCGGGTGACCGCCCCTCCCGCGGAGCGCAGCCCGGCCCCCCAGGCGCACCTCGGGCCAGCTCCCTGCCGCGCTTCTGGGCCGACGCCTTGCACACCTGGGCGTGCCGGAGACTGAGTGTGGAGAAGAGTGAGCCGGGGGGCCTGCGGGGGGGGGGGTGAGACCCCCCCCCCCCCCCCTCAACTACCCTGATTCGGTGGCCTCCCTTCCAGCCTCACTCACTCGTAGTACTCGGGGGCAGTCAGGGCGCCGGGGGCACCAGCTGCTTTCACTGGGCCACAGACCAGGTGCTTCTGTCCGGGAGAGAGCAGGCGCTTAGCCCAGCTGGCGATACACCTCCAGCAATAAACCCCTGGAGGGACCTAAACCTGGTGCCTGGACTCCAGCCTTTTGCCACCAGGCTTTGAGCCTCCGTCTCAAGCCCACCCCTCAGCGCACAGTCCAGCTTCCCCAAGCTATTACTCTTCAGTGTTTTCTGGGATGGGCCTCCAGAGCCCACCCTCTCCTGGGACGCTGCACCTGCTGCAAGCGCCCGCTCACCGAGCCTAACCTTTCCCTCAAGCCCGAGGATCACCTATGGACTCATCAGCTAACGTGCCCCTTGATGGCTTTTCAAGGGCCCTCCGGTTGGTGGGGGAGGAGGGGGCGCTCCACCATCACCAACCTACCTGTGTGAGCGGAGCCTGCTCGTCCAGCTTCCACCAAAGCAAGTCCAACTTCTGTTGCTGGAACTCCTCCTCACAGCTCACCACGTGTACGACCATGCAGCTGCCCGCATCAGCATCCGGGGCCGCTGCCTACAGGGTAGGAGAACGGTCACTGGGCGGACACAGGACCCCCGGCTTGCCAGAGGCCCACGGGGTGGGGGGTCAGTCACTAACCAGGCCTGGAGGGCCGTCCCCAGGCCCGTGGCGGACAGCCTCCTGCAGCTCGGCCAGCGCGCAGAGCAGATCCTCAGTCACTGCGGAGAGCACAGTTGAGGCCAGCCAGGAGCGCAGGGTCCCCCACCTTCTGTCCGGCCCTGCGAGGCTCCAGCTCCTACCCAGACACTTGTCCAGGTTGGGGTCGTAGCCACCTGCGCGTCCCCGTTCTTGCATCACCTCCTTCAGGCACACTGTGCCCAGGACGCCAGGGGGCAGGGCTTCCCCGTCCCGGGCAGGGCTAAGCTCTGCAAGCGCGAGGCTCCTCAGGGCTTCGGTGGCGGCTCTCTCGGAGGCAGCGGGCCAGTCCACGTGCAGTTGCTGCAGGAAGGTCGGCATGTGCGGGTCCCGTACGGCGGGCACCAGCCGCACACTCGCCCTGGGAAGCGAGGGCGGCCGTCTCAGCCCGAGCACCCGCCGCAGCTCCCCCTCCTGCCCACCCGCAGCGGCTCTAGGCCCAGCTCGCCACCCCGGCCTTTCTGGCCCCGCGGCGCGCTCACCCATGCGCGCGCAGAGCTCGCGCCAAATGATCGGCCACGAGCACGGCGCGCAGCTGGCTCAAGCGGAGCGCGCCTGGAGCGCCGCGCAGCGCCGGGCAGTGCAGGAGGACGCGCGGGCCGGGCGCGGCGGGCGCGGCGGGCGCGACATAGGCGGCCACGGCGCCGAGCACGCGCTCGAAGACGGCGGGCCGCTGCAGCTGGAGTGCCAGACCCGCGGGCGTCGGCGCGCAGCGCAGCACCGGGGCCACGCCGGGGCCTTGCAGGCCGGCGACCGCACGGACCACACGCTCGGGCACCTGCGGGAGGAAGGGCGGTGAGCGGGCTGTGGCGCTGCCCCTGGCCGCACATCCCCGCCCGGCTGGCGCCCACCTGTCCGTCCCCGAAGCGCGCTTGCAGCGCGGGCCGCGGCGCCAGGAAGTCTCGGGCGCGCAGGTGGCGGGCGCGCGTCTCCTTGAACCACACGGGGTCGCCAGGCCCCAGGGCCGTGTTGAGGGCCCCTAGCGTCTCCCCGACCCCCAAGCGCCCCGTCGCCATGGCGACCGGAAGGAGCCAGCGGAACCGGAAGCAAAACGTCAGGAGGTCGAGCTTCCGGGAGGGCCGACTGGCCGGGGCGCGTATCCGGTGGCGGTCCCTGAGCGGACAGGTGCGCCAGAGGGGACCGTGGCGGCCGCTTTCGACCTTCGGTCCCAGCACTCCCTCCGCGTGGTCCGCCTGCCCTGCCCGGCCCCGGCATCGCGAGGTCCGCCTTCGGCCTAGAGTTCCGTCGTCGTCACCAGCATTAGCAACCAGGGAAAGGATCCTCGCTACCGAGTGGGGCCCAGACCCGACTGTTTCATCGAAATCTTACCTATTTGTGATAACGTTTCATTCCCCACATTTGACACTTGATCAAACGTCAAAAGTTCCAAATGAATTGTCAGCGGAATAGGGCAGCTAACCATTTTCAGGACCTCCTAAAAAAAAAAAAAATCTCATTTTTGAAAGAATCTGTGTTCTGCGGCTTCAGGTTATTTACAGCCCATTCCTCCTTTGCTATTTGGGTCTTTACTCCCGATAAATGCGTACTCTGGTAGGATTTCTTTTCTTGATTTTTGAGGAATTAGAACCATCATGATATTTTCCAGAATTACCAGTTTTTAATGCTTTTAACCTTGTGTACATTATCAGGGATACTCAGGCCTTTTGGTTTAGGCAACGAGCCATTGTAGGCAAAATAAACAATGTGACCATGAGAGGACCCAGCTAAAGGACTGCTCTCAGTTGGGAGCATCCCATTCCACTAGAGAGCTCTTTCCTCTGTCCCACAAGGACTCCGGAATGTTTTCATTTCAGTGTAACTTAAATCCCCCTTTTCTCTATTTTCTTTAATGGAGATTGAACCCGACACAGCACAGAGTGCAGGAAACCCATAATTACTGCTCTGGAGCAGTGAGAGTGCCCAGAGTTCAGAAAGGAGGGGATCCTAGGAGCAGGAAGTTTGGCAAGACCCCTTTCTGGGCCAGGGCTGCAAGGCCCTGCTGGGATCCCTGAAAGAGCACTGGGCGGACACGACATTCCCGATGGCTTCTTGGGTGCCCACTCAACGGGAGTGATCGTGTCATTCCAAAGCGCTTTCCATTCCGCAGTCGCATGACCCAGGGACAGCTGCTAACAGGCTGGAGGCTGGAGGCCAAGCCGGGGACTTCAGCTACTCGGTACACGAAGACGGTTGGGGTGGGTTTTCCCCAGGAAGTGAAAGGCTATCTATAGCCTGCGGGCTGGGGTGGCCCTGCCCTGTGGGCCTCACCGCCATTGCAGCCCTGTCCAAAGGCCCTGGGACCAACCTCCCTTGTCAGTGCTACTCCAGGTTCAAGAGATGACCATAACCCTGGCTCTCCGACGCCTACGCCCACCATCTCCAGCCTGAGGGCGCACCTGAGACAGGGGCGGAGACCAGAGAGACCCAAATAAAGTATGTCTGGGGTCAGGGGTTGGCCCACCCCATCTAGGCCAGGACGCTGCTCTGGCAGGAGAGCAGGGAACGAAATCCAAGCGCAGCTGGAATGCTCTGGAGACAACAGCTGCTTTTGGGATTCCGTTGCCCGCTGTCCAGCCGTGGGCGGGGGAGGGGGGGACTAACCCCGGGAGGGTGGTGGTCCCTTGCCCTGGGGCCAGATCAGGACCCCCCATTCCCAGTACCAGAAGACGGACCTAGAAGTGGGCGGTAAAGCCGAGTGTAGTGGGAACGAGGCGCTCACCTGGGCCCCAAAACAATAGGAAGATTGGTAAGGGCCTCCCTTAGGACCGGTCCCGATCCGGATTAGATCCGCAGGGTAGGATTACTCCTGTTGGTCCCATGAAACCAGGCCACCGGTGCGGTGACGGTGGCGGGGCGGGCTTCGGGATCGGCCAAAAGAGGAGCTCGCCCGTCGGGCCGGAGAGGAAGTAAACCCGCGCACCAGCCTCGGGGACACCCCCGCACCCGGAGCCCTTTGTCCCGTGACTCTGCCCGCGCCCGGAGCGCTGGGGGGGGGGGGGGAGGGGGAGGCAATGGCGGCGACGGGACCCCCGGGAATCCAATGCGACCGTCCCCCGCTGTGCCGAACCTCCCTCCCGCCCGACCCCATGGGTAGCAGACGCGTCAACGTTCCCTTGAGGCCACGACACCGTGGGGGCGCGGAGATGCCCGAAACCCGCGCGGGCGCCAGCGACTCTCGCGCCAGTAGGCCCTCTGATTCGGCTCAAGACGGGGGGTCGGGGAATTCTCGGGCCGCGAGCAGAGTGAGCGACGACAGGGCGATGCTCCAGCCGCTGTCTAGTTCAATATCTGGTCCCGTTCGGCCCGGTCGATCCCAACCGGACAGCTACAATCGCCCTACCACGGCGTCCCCTTCCGCTTGCTCCGGCCGCAGACTCGGAGCCATTTTAAGGAGAAACCAATCAGCCACGCCCCCTCGCGCTCCCAAGAAGCCAATCCACGCGCAGCCACGCCCTGGGAGACGCGCGGCGGCGACGCCAACGGTCGCGCGGGTGACGGTTGGGGAGGGGCGTGATTCGCGGGAGAGCGAGGGAAACCTGAGCCGGCCGCCCCGCCCTGGGAACCCGACGCCCCAAAGCCTGGGATTAGGGGCTTGGAGGCTGGCCCCACGCTCTGGCCAGGTGTGCGGGACTCGACCAGGTGCGCGGCCGCCCCGCCCCAGGCCCCGGGAGCCCTACGTAATGGCTGAGAGCCGGGGACCAGGCTGCGGCGGGGGCCCAGGCAGCGCTCTGAGGCGGGCCACGCCACCAGCTGTCTGGCTCCCCCAGGACGGTCTGCGGGGGCCCGGGGCGGGGCGGGTGGCAGGTGCAGACACCGGAGCCGCGCCGGGGGACGGGTCCTCCTGGGACAATTGGCATCGGCCTGCTCCCTCAAACTCCCGCGCTGGGGCGGCCGACCTGCGCCGTGCCCTCCGGGACGCAGGGGGCGCTGTCGGCGCGCTGCGGTGGGCTCCGCCACGACCCCGCTGACCCAGCGCCGGCCTCCCTGCTTGCCGGTCCGACATGGTCGCCGCGTTCGTGCTTCCCGGCCTGTGCCGAGCGCGGGCAGTGCTACGCTGTTCTCCTGCCGAGCTGCTGAGGTGAGCCCGGGCCCAGCGTCCCTGATTCTCCCGCCCCGCCACGGCCGGCGATCCCGGCCCGGCTCCTCCCGATCCCCTAGATCCTGAGCACACCCCTCCGCAGGGCCCCACGGCGAGGGCATCGGCTCACGCCGGCGGACGACGAGCTGTACCAGCGGACGCGCATCTCCCTGCTGCAGCGCGAGTCCCCGCAGTCCATGTATATCGACAGCTACAGCAGCCGCGGCTTCACGGTCAATGGAAATCGCGTGCTTGGGCCCTGCGCGCTGCTCCCGCACTCCGTGGTGCAGTGGAACGTGAGCAGTGAGGCAGCGGAGGGCCAGAGTCCCAGGCCTGCCCCCTGATTCTGTCCCTGGCCAACTTGGGCTTTTCCGTTGCCCCTTTGTGGCGCAGGTGAGGGCTCTGTGGGGAAAGCTGCGCGAACTTGTTTAACCTGCCTCCTCCCAACACAGGTAGGAACTCACCGGGACATCACCGAAGAAAGCTTCTCCCTCTTCTGGTTGCTGGAGCCCCAGATAGGTACTGGAGAAGGGGAGGGCTGAGGTGCTTCCAGGCCTAGAAAGCCAAAAGCCACCCCGCCCCAGCCTCCCCACAGGCCTGCCTGCCGCAGGCTAGCCCTGGCCATCTTTCCCTAGGGATCGTTGTGGTGGGCACCGGAGCCCGGACTGAACGGCTGCAGCCCCAGGTGCTGCAAGCCCTGCGGCAGCGGGGCATCGCCGTGGAAGTGCAGGACACGGTAAGCCCTGCGCCTCGGGAGCGCGGAGCAGGGCCCAGGCCTAGCCCTCGCCACGCTGATGCAGGCTTTCTCTCTGCAGCCCAATGCCTGTGCCACTTTCAACTTCCTGTGTCATGAAGGCCGAGTAACAGGAGCTGCTCTTATCCCTCCACCCGGAGGGACTGTGCTCACAGGCTGCGGAAGGAACCACCAGGAACTGAGCTCACCTGTCCAGGAAGGCGCTGGCACTTCGCGCAGTGCAGGGGTTTCCAGCGCTTTCATTAGCCCTTCCCCTTTGGCACTGTAACACTTGTCTTTCTTGCCAGCAAATTAATAATTTAATCCACCTTTCCCATTTTGTACTAGTTGTGTTGCTAGCAAGGAAGAGCTGCTGGCTCAGCGGGCTCTTGGGGGGGGGGGGTTGTGTGAAACCAGAGGATCCCCTTTTTATTTAGACTACATAGCTTCTCAGAGGCTGGAGGCAGTATAGGCACCTGTCCCAAAATGCAAATCTTTGTACTTGCTCACAATGCAGATTTGAGGGGACCCTCTGCTTTCTCAAGGTCCCTTGGAGATTCAAGTTAAGAGAATTGTGTATGTGGCTCTCAACCTGGTCCCACGTGGCCAAGCAGGAGGCCCTGTGGGGGCCAGTCCAAAGCCCCCGAGGACTATTCCATGACCTGTCCTAAGCAGCCACAATGTGAGACTGAACCCTTGTGAGCCAGAGCTGGCCTGACCTACCTTGTGAGCTGCCTCAGGAGAGACTTTTTTGAATTTAGAATTAGTGCCTCCTTCCAGATCCAAGGAATATCCAGACCTCAGGGTCTGAGGCGTTCCCTACAAATGAGAGTGTTGTGCTTGCGTGTGTCTGTGATGGCAGTCGCCACACCTGCCTGTTAACCCCAAAGATCAAGCATCACTTTTTTTTTTTCCCCAAACTTTTATTGAAAAACTGAGGGAGTATGCTGTATCCCTTTTCAGAAAAGCCTCTTCTCATACCTGTAGGCAGAACAACCAGCTTTGAGGTGGGGGCAGCAGAAAGAAGGAACCTCTGCCCCAAGGGTAGGTGGGTACCAAAGGGTTGGTCACTTACGAATGGAGGCTGTGAACACCCCCTTCCACCTGAGCTGAGGATGTTCTCTTCTCAAACTTGAGTTCTCCAGAATACATCATGGCTCTGAAGAGAGGCAAATGTCAGATGTGGGTACCTGGCCCTCAACTAGCTCCTCCACCCATGTCCCAGCTCTCCTGGCTTACCGGACTTGGGTCAAACTCTTGGCACCAATGTCCTGGCAGGAGTGCTGGATGCCAGCGATCAGGTAGGGGACAAATTTGTGGATGGACCCTTTGTCCTGCACAGCCCCAGACACCCCTTGGGCCACTTTGATTTTATCAGCTTCACTGTAGGAAAAGGCAAGACGACATAGGCAAGGTCAAAGCATGGATGAGGCTATCAGTACAAGGCTGTCAGTACAGGGTAATTGACCTTCCTGTCCCACCTGAAATATCGGTTCTGGCTGCTGAGATGCTTGTCCATGGCATCAAGAGAACCCATACCACGGTATTTCTTTAGCCGGATCCCATCAGAGAAGAAGTACTCGCCAGGGGCCTCAGTGGTAGCAGCCAGGAGGGAACCCATCATGACTGTGGACAAATGGGAGTGAGGGGAGCAGACGCTGAGTGGTCCTGGGGAAGGAATCCCACCAGACTCCCTGGGTGTTGGGCCTCACCTGTGGAGGCCCCAAGGGCCAAGGCTTTGGCGATATGGCCCACATTTTGGATTCCTCCATCAGCAATAACAGGAACACCAAAGCGCCGTGCATATTCTGACACCTTATACACCGCTGTTGCTTGTGGCCGCCCGCAGGCCAACACTATTGAGAAATGGAGGAACAGATGGGTGGGTGGAATCCGTGGGGACAGGCAAGGGGCCCTGCGGCCGTAACTCAGCACCCAGGAGCTCTCCGCTACACCTGTACCAGGACTGCAGCCCGGCTGAGAAAGAGTCATGTCTGGAAGGGCTGCTGCCCTGTCTGCCTTCAACAGTTCAAACAGCAGTGATGGCCTCCACTCAACTCTGCATGTGCGCGTGCATGTGTGCTCGGCCCAGGGCAGCCTCAGGCACATGCAGTCAGCAGCCGGGGGGGGGGGGGGGGGAACCCCACCCACCTGGTATCAAGTGGGGGTAGGTGTCACCGTGCAGTTAGTACCCAGAGGCCCACCCACCCCTTCCTCCCAGCATGGTTCGCAGCTCGGGCAAGATCAGGGGCGTGGTCACGTGGAAGGAAGAGTGTGCTTGTTGGTCCTTGAGCTGTGCCTACTGTAGGCAATGTGAAGGAGGTCCTGCCCTACAAGCCCCCCAGGAAGAGGAAGGAGCTGTGTTCTCCAGCAGCCCCTAAAACCATGGTCTGTCATTCAGTTTGCCCTGCCCACCCATCAACACCACAAACCCCGGGAGCTACAGCTACAGTCAACCAAGCAGCCGGGCAGTGGGCAGCTGGGCCGGGCCAGTGGGCCGGGCTGGACTTACTATAGCAGCCCTTGACAGTAGAAGGGCATTTGGGGCTGTGGGACTTTATGTCTGGAGGGATCTTGGGAGCCACTAAATAAAACAAACAGACCAGAGTTTAGAGAGGGTGCAGAGCAAGAGCAAGGAGGCCAGGCTAGCCAGGGGGGGTAGTGGCAGGTGAGGAATGACGAGCTCGTCTTCCAGCATGTCACCCATCCAAGGGGCCTGTTTGGCCCTGGGACTGCCCCTATTGGAGGACTCGCATAGTTCCCACAAGAGCTCTTGGCTCCAGGCCATAGGGGGCTAAGGGCCCTGCTGAAGCCAGAGTCTCTGAGGGCCCCACCGAAGCATTTCCTACCTTCCTGGGTGATGCAGATGGAGCCACTGCCCATGCCCACCCGCAGGGCATCTACACCAGCATCAATGAGGTTCTTGGCCTGAGCAGCTGTGACCACTGCAGTGAAGAGCAGGGAAAGGCTTGTGTGACGATCTGAGTGGGAGCCTAGCTCCTCTACCTCTTGCCCCACATCATTTGGTGCCCAGTCTTGCCTCACCATTGCCTCCAATAACTTGGAGGGAGGGATATTTCTCCTTGATGTACTTGATCATGTTGATCTGGAAGATGGAGTTTCCTTGGGAAGAGTCCTGGGACCGGGAGAAAGTCCCAGTGAGACTGGTATGACAGCTGTCCCTACCACCCCACCCTGCCTGTGCAAGATCTCACCAAAACCACTACGTCCACTCCAGCCTGGGCTAGCAAATCCAGCCGATACTTGTCATCTTCATGAGTGCCAATGGCTGCTCCACACAGCAGCTGCTTCTTGGCGTCTTTGGAGGCCAGTGGGTAATCCCGGTTCTTCTTCAGGTCTGTCCGGGCAATGATGGCTACCAGCTCATCATCTTCATTTACAATGGGTAACTTTCCTGGGGATAGGGAAGGTACATAAATCAGAACTCTGATCTTTGGTTCCAGAACCCTTCCACCTCTAGAACTCACCCTTCTTGCTGCGCTGCAGAATTTCATTTGCTTCCTTCAGTGTGATGCCTGCAGGGGCTACCACCAAGTCTTCCCTCTTCGTCATGATCTAGCAGTGAGGGGAGCTGTGAGAAGGGCCCAGAGACCAGACCTCCAACACACCCTGACCTAACTCGGGGGTGAGGTTCCACAGACCACCCTGATCACACACCTGCACCCAAACCACTCTCCTCAAGTGAACCCAACAGCCAGTGCAGCAATACAGTGGCACGGGTGAGAATTGCGTAGAAAGAACAATGTGGTACACAGAACATGCTGTTACATAGCGGAGAAAGAAGGGCCCTGCCAGAGCAATGACGAGAGTTGGAAGAGGAGGCTGCGGTTGGTCCTTGAGCACTGCCCCCACCTTGGGAGTGGCAACACAGCATGCATGCTGGCAAACACTTGGGCAGAAGGAGAGCATCTGGTGGGGAAGAGATGCAGGAACCCCATGAAGGGGTCAGAGACTTGGCTGGGCATTCATCTTTCCTGGACAGCAGAAGCCCCCAGAGATGCCATTCAGGCAACAGAAACCTCGTCTTAAGCCTTGGCCGCCAGAGCTTGGCTTTGCTTTGTCAGTAGCACCCACCTCTTCCAAAAACCGGTCGTGTTCCTCCTCCTTGAGAAAATCTATGTCCCTTGAAGAAATGATGCCCACCAAGCGGCTCCCCATCCGGCCCGTGTCGGTGATTGGGATACCACAGAATCCATGCCGGGCTTTGGCTTCAAACACATCCCGCACTCGATCCTTGGGGCTGAGGACCACAGGGTCTGTAATGAATCCCTGCTCATATTTCTGGAAGGGATGGTGAGAAAGAACATTTCTGAACCGTCTTTACCAGTCTGAAGCCTGGGGTCTACACCAACTCCCCCTCTGGCAGTACCATAGGACCAAATCACAATTAAAACCCAGGGATAGTAAACGTGGGTGGGCTGTAGGTACTATCCACCTGGTCCTCTTCTCTTGCCTTAGGACACAAGGTCTCATACTCTTCTCAGGAACTGAACCCCAAAGTGGGGAAAAAAGGATCCTAAATTAGGAAAACAAATTCCCCACTTCCACCCCACTCCACCTCAGTGCAATTCCCAGGAGCTCTTGACCACGATCCTTGCCCTTCTGACCTTCACTTTCCGAACTTCGTTGGCTTGGAACTCAGGTGTACAGTTGTGGTGGATGAAGCCAATTCCACCTGTAAGCTGCAGGATAAACAGAAGATTGTGAAAAAGTGACAAAGAGCAGCATGACTATGTATGTCTTTGGGGAAGAGTGTGAGGCCCCTCCTTTTGTCCTTACACCCCATGATGCTCACCGCCATTGCTATGGCCATGCCAGCCTCTGTGACTGTGTCCATGGGTGAGGAAACCAGTGGGGTCTTCAGAGTGATCTTTTTGGTCAGAGCAGAAGTCAGGTCCTGAGGAAATACGGCCCGATAATGTGGCAAATACCTCATAAAAGCCTCAGGGTGGTGCCAGGTCCCCCATAAAACAGGTGCCCTGTATGTCCTGCATGCCAATCAGACTATTCCATAGAATCCACCCCCAAGCCCAATCTGCTGTGGTAGCCGAGAGACCAGGGAAGAGAAGTACCTTACCCAACCTTGATGCTCAGGACCCAATTTCTGGCCATACTCACCACCTGGTCTGCAGTGAAGTCGATGTACCCAGGGAGAATGAGAAAGTCACTACGGGGGAGGGGAGCGAATTGGGAGTAAGGCTCAGGCTTAGGGCGGCCCGGGATTCCATCCCCATAGATCATGTCATAAGGCATCTGGGCCTTAGAGGGCACTGACCTAGCCCGTGTCACAGGCAGGGCAGACAAATCACAAGGTGGAGATGGAGACGGGACCTTTTCTGCCACCTAGCTGTCATCAGCGACCCTGGCACCCTGACAACTCCATGTGCCGAAAGAATGAAGCTCCTAGCCTGAAATCTCAAGCACTGCCAAGATGCCTCCTCCATCCCGCCGCACTTCAGATCTATCAAACGGAGCCCCAGAGATGGGTGGGGAATTCTCCGGAACCTGTCTCCCATGCCCGGGTCCAAGCGGGCTCTGTGGAAAACCCCGCCCGGCCTCCCAGTCCAGCGCGCCGCCCGTCTCCTCGCCCAGGTGAGCCCGCTAGGCCCGCACTTGTAGGTGAGGCCGTCCCCGCAGTTGAACAGCTGCTGCGCTGTGAGCCCGTCGTCTGGCACGTAGGACGTGCCCCCGCTAATCAGGTAGTCGGCCATGGCCACCGCCGGGCAAAGCCGCGTGTGTCCGAAGACGGCGCCGCAGAGGCCTCTGCCGTCTGGGCCGCGCCAATATAAACCCGCCGATATCGTCACTGCGCCCTGCGCGTCACTGACGTCAGGACGCAGTACGACCAGGCGGAGCCCGTGCGCCTCCCGGGCGGGGCTACCGAGGGAGCGCATGCGCGGAGCACGCCCTAGGCGTGCAGCCACAAAGTTGGGCGTTCCCGAGGCTGCCCCCTCCCGCAGGACCGTGACCCGTTCAACCAGCGGGCAAGGCTTTGCTTCCGATGGCCCGCTGGGCTCCTCCCAAATAAAGAGGCGATGTTCACTAGCATGTTGAAAAGACGTGCTTGTCATTCTTAATAAACAACTAGATTAAGAATACATAAGAGAAACAGAGTGGTATCTTTATATGATACACAAGTGTATGTTACAAGAATTCCATCAGGCACAGGAGCCTCAGGTTTAAGGCCTCAATGTTAGGCCAAAAAAAAAAAAAAAAAAAAAAGGCATGGTAAAGTTTTTACTTTAACATCTAAAATGTCACTTGTCATAAAGGAGGGTGTAATAGAAATTGTCTTTAATAAATCATAATTGAAGTTCCCCTCATTTTCCTTCCATTAAGATGCTAAGTTTATGTCTGAGCATGAAGAAAGAAAAGACCATGGCTCCCCTGGGGTCAGCGACGTCTGCCAGTCAGAGTGGAAGCCAGCTGGGGAGATTCCCTGGAGGGTCCGTCACTAATTCCATCTTTCTGGAGTAAGGGAAGGGGCCACATTTCTCCTAACAGTCCGAGCCCTTTCCCCAGGCCCCAGACAAAAAAGAAAAAGCCAGCCAGCAACTTTCTAGGACATCTGGCTTTCAGGAAACCCAGAGCCCCCATGGGCTGAGGAATCTGCTGCAGCAGATTTACGGTGACGCACAGGAGGCAAAGTTTCCTTTTACATTTTAAACAGAAGCAGTCTGAAAGGCTTCATAACTACACCAATTAAAAAAAAAAAAGAAAAGAAAAAAAATGGAGGCCTCTTCTTTAGTGTGAAAGTCTGTCCATTTTTTTTTTCCTGGATCATCTCCCTTGCACCATGGCTTAGGGATCTCAGTGCATGGTGCTTGCGTTGGCCACTGCAATGGCCTCCTGAATTTCTCGTATCACCAGGATCCGAGTCAGCATCTGTCCCATTTGCTCTCTGCTGATAGGCTGGACCGAGTACCAGATTGGGCTATTGGGGGCCACCACTGGCTCAGGCGTCAGATAAAACGTGTCATTCCGGCCTTTCACACTCTGGGGGCTGAAAAATATATCAGTAAAAGCTGGGTAAAACCACAACATTCTCAACCCTCCCACCCTGGAATATTCCAGACAGATGCTGTATGCAAAAGGTGGGAAGACAGCAGCTCTTCAAAGGTATGATGGCATAGCTACTGAATTCCATGCAGTCAACACACATTACCTCTAGGGCCTCCTTTGGGGCTACTGCCAATGCCAGTAATAGGCTGTCTCCCTTCCGCTTCTCCCTCACATACTGCTAGCTGTGATTCCTCTAACCACCTGCCTCGGAATGCCAGGGTTCATCTACTGGAGTCCAACCGTATCCCACTTGGAACCAACTGCACTGCCTACAAGGTCCTCTCCAAGTCTTTGTTCATGTTCTTTCCTCTACCCAATCCACTGAATTCCTAAATTTTACATAAGGGACTCTGCCTTCCCAGCTTGGCTGTGATGCTGGGACCCTTACCTGGGCTCATCCTCCACCCCCCTCAATGTTGTGCTGTACTTAGCACATGCCACTTCTAACAGTTATATTCGCCCATCCACTCAAGATTTATCAAAGGGCTACTGTGTGCCAGGCCTGCACTACGGGCTGGTGTTCAAGAAATGAGCAGGATCCAAGACTCCCTACCTTATGGAGCTTACAGATAAGAGACAGTCAACAATTAAACAATTACATAAATGACAATCAGTGGTAAGTGCTACAGAGGAAACAGCCCAAAAAAACAGGTAGGGAATCTGGAGATGCTTCTGATCAAGCTGTTCTGAGAAGAGGGATGGATAGGAGCCAACTAGCCAAATATGGGGGTGGGGAGGGGAGGCTTGCCCAACAAGGAAAATTCCTAAGCTGAGGCCTGGAGGTAGGGAGATCATGATGCTCTGGAGTGGAGAGGAGCCAGTAGCTAGAGAGCCAAGAGGTACAAGGACGTGAGATTAGCAAGGGGGAGTATACGTAAGGCCTTGTTGGCAAGATTAGGATTACTCTTTCTCTATACAATAAATGGAAACCACCGAACGTTTTAATCTAAGTAACATAAGACCTATAACATAGAAAGAGGATTGTGGCACTGCAGTAAAGATGACATGCCAAACTGCAAGGGCAAGAGAGTAAAAGCCAAGGAAAGAAATCCCCCCTAGACTGATGTTGCTAGTGACAAACGTCAAGGCCAGGAAGATGCTACATGATGGAGGCCGCCTTTCTGTACTTTCCTCCATCTCCCCCATTCCCCTCTCCAAGACAGGAGACCATATAAAATCACAATGCTAGTCATTTCACATGCTTTGGGGAAACCAGTCAGGCTGCTTCTATATTTAGCTTTTTGGAAATGTGTTTTTACTTTGTTTGGGACTAAAGAATGCCTTATACACAGGTACAGTGCACTCATGCATACATACAGTCACCCAGCCACCATAAAGCTTCCTCACCATTTAAAGAGGTAGAAATCGTAGAGCTTGATGGGACATCTCAGTGGATTCTCTGGATTTTCCGTCTGCTCTGCATACATGTCATCTGTAACTATAAAACACATCCCCACCACCAGGGACATGGCATGAGACTGCCTTAGCTCAGGACCAGATTAGGAACCTTAGGCTTGGGGGCGCCTGGGTGGCTCAGTCATTAAGCGTCTGCCTTCGTCTCATGATCCCAGGGTCCTGGGATCATGCCCCACATTGGGCTCCCTGCTCAGTGGGGAGTCTGCTTCTCCCTCTCCCACTCCCCCTGCCTGTGTTCCCTCTCTCCCTGTGTCTCTGTCAAATAAATAAATAAAATCTTAAAAAAAAAAAAAGGAACCTTAGGCCTCTAGCCATCCCAACTAGACTTACTGGGAGAGGAAAGGGTGTGAGGCATGAAGGGAAAAAGCAGCAATCGTTTCTGGGGCATCTCTGCTTCGAAAAGAGTTTCAAGTTTCTAGGTGGGGAGAAGGGAATGGAAAATTCCTATCCAGCAAATCCCAACTCAACTTCACACTCAACACTAACCCCCCAGGCACAAGGGCAGGGCAGGACAAGTTGCACCTGTTTCTGCGGCCCCTACCTTTCTGGCCAGTCTGGTGTATCCCAAGAGCCTTCAGGTATCGAATACTCGTGCTTTTATCCTTAGGATTAGAGGGGTTCTTCTTTGTCTGTCGCAAAACCTTGGAGAAGGCCAGCTTCATGTGCTGGTCCACTGTCTTCAACAGGAAGTATCTGCACCACAAGTGAAAGCAAGGCAAAGGGAGGGGTGCCAGGAGGAGACTATGACTTACCCTCTGCCATCGGTGCCTCAGAGGAGCCGCTGTGCACACTCCCAGGATGTGGGCAGGCCCATACCCAAAAACACTGTCTAGTGGAGGAACCAAATCAAGACGGATGGCAGGGGTCTGGCAAGGCTGTATGCCTCACTGGTCACCACACAAATGTAGCCAAGTGGGGCTGAAGGCTTTTAGTAGCCCAAAGGCTCTCAAATATGTGTCAAAGGAATTCCTATATCTACCTGGATAGTTTCCACCCTCTTCACTGGGCAGATGCCAGCAGTGGCTAAACATGGAGCTTCTAGAACACTTACTTGGTGTTAAAGAACATGAGGGTGGTCAGCAGGGTGGAAGGGGAGTGAGCCCCGAGCTGCTTGCACTCCCACAGCATCTCCTCAGTCACGTGGCTGGGCAGGACATAGCCTAGGAGGAATAGAGCACTGCTACAACAAGAGGATGGCAGGTGGGCCCTCAGAGGTGCAGGATGGGAGGTGGGAGGCACAAGGACCACAAAAGAGTACAAGTTTAACCAGAAAAACCTCCCTAGGGAATGGCAGAATCATCTGGAAGCTTGTTAAAACACAAATGGCTGGTTCCCAGCCCAAGTTTCCGGGGGGGAACTGATAATGTGCATTTCTAACAAGTTCCTGAGAACCACTGCCCTATATGCATGCTCTTACCTGATGTTAATTCTTCCTCTAATCCAAGGTTAAAGTGGGGCAAGAAAATACTGGAACACCCAAAACTATAAATCAAACTCTGCAAGTATGCATACTTCTCTAGAAAGAGGGTAGAGCTTTCATCATATTTTCAGGTGTCAAGGGCCCAAAGAACTGGTATGGGTGCACCTGTTTGCCCTTGCTAAACCTCTCATGTTTTCCACTTCTAGAAAGCAAACCCATTCTCATCCCCTCTCTGGATAAAGGGGAAAATGATATTCAGAACTACTACAGGATTCCCCGACAGTGCAGGTTTTACTTTAAGACCCTTGTTCTTAAATGAACTGAGAGCTGGGCAGGGGCAAAGGTCAGGGTGCAGCCAGGTCTACACCAAAGGAAGAGGATACTTGAGTTAATCACCAAGCCCCCTTCATGTGTCACTCAACAGTTAATGTACAAGTGTTTGTGTGCCAGGTACTGAGGCCATGGTGAAAGCATTCTCCTGCAGGAGTTTCAGGATCCTCCAGGCAGGCAGCAAGGATGTCACTTCCTAGAAGCGGGGAAAGAAATATTCTGCCCAACACATTCCTCTTCTCTGCTCCTGCCAAAGCTGGCCCTCTGACTCCATTAAGTGCACTCCCATCTCTCCAGGGCAGCTCTGCCTCTACTCTTCTATTTTGTGACCTACTGGCAATGAGATAAGCTTCCCTGCCCTCAAACATATCTGAAGCAGGTGAGTGGCACAGACAGCCCTCCTTGGGGAAAGCCAGTGGTAGAAGTGGTACGACACATATCTTGGCATGCGCTATTTTCTAGGGTTTACTTCACTCTGCCATTTATATGAGCTTCCCTAGCTTTAACCACTTCTTAATAAAACTTAAAGTGAAGTTTAGGGTCAAAAACCAGGACTCCTGGCATGGGAGAAGGGAGACGCAGATAGGGACGCATCATATAAAAACTAAAGTTCTCAATCTGAACTGCAAGCAACAAAATGACCTATTTTATCTTTTTTTAGTATTTCCCACTGAAAGGCTTATGAACAATGACCAACCCAGGAGCAATGAACACCCCTGTGCATCCAGACTATGATACTTAAAATACCATTTACACTAAAAGGAACCAGTCTCAAGGAGAACTGACCAATTTCACATTGAGACAGAAAATAGAAAATGTCCAATATCAGCCTAGAACATCTGGCAAATCAGAAATCAAGGAAATAGGGCCAGGGCCATGTCAAAAGAACTTAAAAGCCAATTTAAGAGGTTCCAAATGGCCAAAGATGGAACAATCTGCACAGCAAAAAAGATAACTGCTATGGACTGAACCAAATTAAGTATGTTTAAACTCATTAGTTCACAATGATTCCTTAAAAAAAAAGTGAATTGGTTATCACTGGATGAAACTGGTGAATCAACTCATTACCATAAAAACTGCTGAACATGGGGCACCTGAGTGGCTCAGTCATTAAGCGTCTGCCTTCGGCTCAGGTCATGATCCCAGGGTCCTGGGATCGAGCCCCACGTCGGGCTCCCTGCTCTGCGGGAAGCCTGCTTCTCCCTCTCCCACTCCCTCTGCTTGTGTTCCCTCTTTCACTGTGTCTCTCTCTGTCAAATAAATAAATAAAATCTTTTTAAAAAAAAACTGCTAAACAAAGAGAATAAGCCCTTATCCCGCCTCTCCTAGAAAATCTCCTAAAAATCCTATAAAATCATCTATGCTGCTAGGTATTCAAAGAGTGATCAAGGGAAAGTTTTGCTTTGTACTTCAGCTAATAATGAAAAATAACATCAGAATGCCATCAATTGCAACTCCTAATGAATTAATA